TATAAAAATGTGGAGGATTTAAAAGAAGCGATTTCGATGACATGGACAGACTTGGATCGCAAGTAGATAAAAAGTTATGCAAGACCAGAACCACCGAATCAGTCAAAGTGACTGGTTTCTGACTTCTTTCTTTTGCATTTCTCCTGATACCATACAGTATAATAATAAACTGAATTGGAAGTTGGGTCGTGCATTTTTAAAATTTTTTTACATAATATTTGAAAGCAGATTAATTATAATTTTTTCTTAATCATTAACACTAGTATCATCAAATCAGAAAAAATGACTGGTCTCTGAATTTGTTCTTCTACAATTCCTGATACCATAAAAATATAATAATAAACTGAATTGAAAGTTGAGTCATGCTTTTTTAAATTTTTTTACATAGTATTTGAAAGCAGATTAATTATAATTTTTTTCTTAATTGTTAACACTAGAATCATCAAATCAGAAAAAATGACTGGTCTCTGATGTTTTTCTTTTACAATTCATGATACCATAAAAATATTTTCGTTAGAAATGTTTATCTGAACTTTTTTATTGAAGCACACATATTATAATAAAAATCGTGGAGGAAGTTTAAATAAATCCAATCGTGTCGTTTTCATACAACAATATACGCGAGTCACGTTTAGTAGTCACGGTAGTTCTAGTGTCAATTTTCTACACTTTATTTTTACTAATTTAAATTACTTTTTTACATACTTTATTTTTATAAATAGCGTCTTATAACATTGTCCACTATAAGTTTCATACTCAAGTTCTTCACTTTCCTAATAATATCCTAGGCGTCTCATAATTTCCACCATTGGCGTACTTTCACCGCTGCTTCTATTCTCCCCGCATGAACGCAGAACGCAGCTTTGTAGTTTTTCTATTCCGCTATCGCGATTTCCGCTGACCGGAAACGGACGGCCCGCCCCCTGGCTGAATTTCGATTTCGATTTTGATCGTTTTCCACCGGTCAATTAAATAAATCCAACGGAAATATTTGACTCGGCGATAAACTGCAACCGTTCCCAGCCTCCCATGAAGTTATAATAACCGGGAAAATGACAACGGGACCGCCGCGCCGCGCCGCACCGCATCGCAGCGAATCTCGCCGAGCCGGCCCGCGATCGATAATGCATATGGATGGAGCGTTATTAAAAAGAATGTCAACCGGATACCGGGAATGCACGTAAATACGACCTGTTCGTTTTTCAAATCCAATCTTTCCGCCTCGTTTTTGTTTTACAGCCGCGCTCTCGGTCCTTAACGAAATAGGAAATCAGCGAAGAGCGAGTGGGGGGAGAGAGGGGGAACTGCGATGTTTCCGCGGCCATTCGAACGTTCGCGTTCGCGACACAATTTTCGATACGAGACCGCTATTTTAATCGAGCGATCGGCAGTTTTCCGACCAGCGAATCCGGGAGCCGGAAACTCTGCGGGGGATAAATTAATTGTTTCTTTTTCCCGAAGTTTTACTCGAAATCAGAAGCTACGGCCCAGCAGAGGGCCGTTTCTCCGCGGCTTGGCCCGATCGTCGAACCGGTGGTCCCAACACGGACGCATCTGAACCGAATCGGTAGCCTAGTTTACCGCGAGATCGAAGGTAACTGGTGCCCATAGTGACCATTCGTGGTAACCATAAGCTAATGCTTCCGGAGCGCCCTAGAGAACACGCGCATACGGAGAGATAGAGATAGAGAGATAGATAGATAGAGAAAGAGAGAGAAAGAGAGAGAGAGAGAGAGAGTCAGGCAGACAGTCAGACAGACACACAGACAAACAGGAAGAGAGAGAACGAGAGAGAGACAGACAGACACAGAGAAACAGAGAGAAAGAGATAGAGAGAGAGAGAGAGAGAGAGACAAACAGACAGACAGGCAGACAGACAAACAGAGAGAAAGAGAGAGAGAGAGACAAACATACAGACAGACAGACAGAGAAAGAGAGAGAGAGAGAGAGACAAAAACAGAGAGAGAGGAAGAGACAAAAAGAGAGAAAGAGCAGAGTATCGAAAGAGAAAGAGAGATAGCAGAGAATTGAGAGAGAAAGAGAGAGAGGAGAGAATTGAGAGAGAAAGAGAGAGAGCAAAGGATCGAGAAAGGAAGAGAGAGAGTAGAGAATCGAGAAAAAGAGAGAGAGAAAGAAAGAGAGAGAGCAGAGAATCGAGCGAGGAAGAGAGAGAGAGCAGAGAATTGAGGAAGAAGGAAGGAGAGAGCAGGGAATCGAGAGAGAAGGAGAGAGAGAGAGATCAGAGAATCGAAAGAGAGAGAGAGAGTGGAAGAGAGAGAAAAAGAGAGAGGGCAGAGAATCGAAAGAAAAAGAGGAAGAGCGACAGAGCAGAGGATCATGAGAAAAAGAGAGTGAAAGCAGAGAATCCAGAGAGAGAGAGAGAGAGAGAGCAGGGAATCGAGAGAGAGAGAGAAAGGGAGGGAGAGCAGAGAATCAAGGGAAAAAGAGAGATAGAGAGTAGGGAATCAAGAGAGAAGGAAAGAGAAAGCAGAGGATCAAGAGAGAAAGAGAAAGAAAAAGCAGAGAATCGAGTGAGAAAGGGAGAGAGAGAGAAAAAGAGAGAGCAGAGAGAATCGAGAGAGAGAGTGGGGTGGGCAGAAAATTGATAGAGAGAGAGAGAAAGAGAGACAGAGATCGCAGAGAGTCGAGAGAGCGAGGGAGAGAAAGAGAAAGAGAGAGATGACAGAGAATCGAGAGAGAGAGGGAGAGAGAGAAAGAGAGAGCAGAGAATCGAGAGAGAGAGAGAGAAAGAGAGAGCAGAGAATCGAGAGAGAGAGAGAGAGAGAGGGAGAAAGAGAGAGATGACAGAGAATCGAGGGAGGAAGAGAGAGGGAGAACGAGAGAGATGACAGAGAATCGAGGGAGTGATAAAGAGAGAGAGGGGGGGGCAGAAAATCGAGAGAAAGAGAGAAAGAGAGAGACAGAGATCGCAGAGAATCGAGAGAGATCGAGGGAGAGAAAGAGAAAGAGAAAGATGACAGAAAATCGGGAGAGAGAGTTAGAGAACAGAGAATCGCGAGATGAAAGCCGCGAGCCGAGGGCGGAAAGCGGAAAGCCGAAAGCGCGCTGCAACAGGGCTATTGTAGCTTACAAGCGGTACGGTACACACAACTATAATCGGATAATGCCGAAAGATACTCTAACGATCGCGCTGGTTCTTAGGTGTATCTCGGGACGACGAGGACAACGATAACCGTAACGATAACGATAACGGGCATCGATAACGTTAACGAATACGATAACGATAATTAGAGTATCAATGATAAAAGGGCTAGGTGCTCGATACTTGTTAGAGAACAACTTATTCAAAAACCGTATAGAACCGTCGTTATCCGCGGCAGATACTTCCTATAACGAGCTGATACGTATAGTTTACTCAATCAAGATCACGGGAACCACGGTCCAAGCGAACCACCGACCAAGTTATTTATGCAAATTCGGGTTTCAAGGGGCAATTGATGAAATTGGGAATCAAATATGAAGGAAGGCTCGTTATTCGATGAAACGCTTCCCGCGGCCGAAAAAGAGGGCAATAAGCCGAGTAATAGAACGCCTAATAGAGAGGATAATAGAACAACCTGCAATAGAAACGGTAATAGCGAAAGGACAATGATGAAAAGAGTAATAGTAAAAAAGGCCGATAAAATGGCTAATAAAACTGGTAATCCGTTTCTAATTTTGTCCGAGTCCCGCGGAAAAACGTAAACGCTGTCGTTCGCGCGCTATAATTGAGCCGTTTATTTTGAAAGTGGCATAAGTCACTTTACCGTAATGAAAAGTGGTGATTTTTTAATGTTTATACGAAAAATTATTTATACTGAGAAAAATATCAGTATCCTGAGATAACGAATACAAGTAAATCTTCTCGAAAGTTAGCATCCATATTTTTAAACGTGTTAAAACGCAAATCCTTAAATACAGGGTGTCCCAAAAATGTCTCGCAATCCGAAAGCGGCGAGTTCCTCGGGTCGTTTGAAGCAACTTTTTCCTTTACAACAATTTTCTCCGAGGCACCGTTATCGAGTTATTAACGAGAAACAGTGACCAATGAGAGGCGAGCTCGGCTGGCGCGAGGCGACCGAGCCAGTGAGCGGAACTGGGCTTCGCGCGCTGGTTGGCTGGGCCGCCTCGCGTCAGCCGTACTCGATTCTTATTGGTCACTGTTTTTCGTTAATAACTCGTTAACGGTGCCTCGGAGAACATTTTTGTAAAGGAAGAAGTTGCTTCAAATGATCCGAGGAACCCGTCANTTCGGGTTTCAAGGGGCAATTGATGAAATTGGGAATCAAATATGAAGGAAGGCTCGTTATTCGATGAAACGCTTCCCGCGGCCGAAAAAGAGGGCAATAAGCCGAGTAATAGAACGCCTAATAGAGAGGATAATAGAACAACCTGCAATAGAAACGGTAATAGCGAAAGGACAATGATGAAAAGAGTAATAGTAAAAAAGGCCGATAAAATGGCTAATAAAACTGGTAATCCGTTTCTAATTTTGTCCGAGTCCCGCGGAAAAACGTAAACGCTGTCGTTCGCGCGCTATAATTGAGCCGTTTATTTTGAAAGTGGCATAAGTCACTTTACCGTAATGAAAAGTGGTGATTTTTTAATGTTTATACGAAAAATTATTTATACTGAGAAAAATATCAGTATCCTGAGATAACGAATACAAGTAAATCTTCTCGAAAGTTAGCATCCATATTTTTAAACGTGTTAAAACGCAAATCCTTAAATACAGGGTGTCCCAAAAATGTCTCGCAATCCGAAAGCGGCGAGTTCCTCGGGTCGTTTGAAGCAACTTTTTCCTTTACAACAATTTTCTCCGAGGCACCGTTATCGAGTTATTAACGAGAAACAGTGACCAATGAGAGGCGAGCTCGGCTGGCGCGAGGCGACCGAGCCAGTGAGCGGAACTGGGCTTCGCGCGCTGGTTGGCTGGGCCGCCTCGCGTCAGCCGTACTCGATTCTTATTGGTCACTGTTTTTCGTTAATAACTCGTTAAC